TTCGGCAAAAAAAGCAAAGGGGATATCGTTTTTGCGAGGTCCGGGGCGAAGCCCGGAAAAAATTGGTAGTTTATGCCCTCTGCTTATCTTAACATCTTATGTGCCTCAACAGGCGAGCTCTGGAGTTTGCGCGCGCCAAACCGCGCCGTCGCTAATTGCCGCACGCGCGACGTCGCTCAAAGGTTGCTATTTGTAAGAGCATACATGATTAGTGCTCAATGTATACGCAACGATATGACACCAAATTTTGTAAGCGAACGGAGAGAGGCTAGTGGAAACAAAGTATGAAAAACTATGAAAAACTTATGTGAACGGAACGAGTAATAAGCACTTTTTCGAAATTTTGCAAAATTGGTAAATGAAGATGTGAATTCAAATGGCTCGTTTGCAACGCGCAGATGACGTCATGGTATTAAATTTGGTACGTACGTGGACACAAGTCTGTAGGAGTTAAATTAGGAATTTCGTTGAAAAATTATGTGACTGAAGGTTGTGGCAAACTTTCTTCTGAAAATTTCCCGCTATCAAAAAAACGAAAAAATGGCTCGTTTGCAACGCGGAGGTGACGAAATCGCGCGAGATTTGATGTGTATGTGCGCAGTAAGGCTAAGTAACAAAATGTGAAAAATTATGGAAAACTTATGTGAATGAAGAGCGTGCTTAACTTATTTCCAAATTAAATGACAAGCTGAACTTGTCAAAACTCTCAATTCACATAATTTCTTCAAAATTTTCAAATAAATCTACTTTACACTTAAGCATTAGTATATATTGAAATTTTGGTTTCAAACCTCCTCCTCTCTTCATTGCTAGAGGCAAAAATAGCCTCAGCATCCCCGTTTCCTAAGGAGGAAAGCGTGCTAATCATTCGATGACGGCGCTGAGTCCGATAATCGGCGTCGCTTTGACATTTCTTCATTTCTTTTGGTCATTCATTTCGCTGCTGATTCCCCTTCGCTGTTATGTTCCCCGTCTTCTTCTCGTCGTCGTCTCTTCGTTCTTCAATCTTCTTCACTTCCAGAACCTGGGGAATGATTTACATCATCGCTTTTGGATTGCTCGCGCGAAAACATTATTTTCTCATGAGCTTTTTGGATGTGTAATTTCAGGTTTGGTTCTGTTGTTTTCTTTCATTTTTAGTAGTTTTGCTTTTTGCTTCTCGCTTTCAGCAGGTATCTCAGGTCCAAGGCAGATTCATTCGATTTCATCGTCGCGATCAATTGCTAGAAGACGTGTTACGAGTTCATTGCATGCCGATCTTCTTGTATTTCGGTTGTGATAGTTAGTCACGATTAATTATGTTGGAAAACAATCACAACCGAAATGCAAGAATCTGCATGCAGTAAACTCGTAACACTTGTCTTCTAGCAATCAATTGCGAGGATGAAATCGCATGAACTCTTTCTCGGGCCTTAAGGATTATTTCGGAGAGGAAATCACCACTGTATGATTGAATATAATGATTTCATTTCACTGAATTCAATCATTCATCATTCATTTGTGATCATCACTGGAGATTCATGTGTTAATTACTTTTTTGTAGGAATCTGTTCATGGGACGCATGGTGGCCGAAATGCGTATAAATTGGTTATGGTTCCGGAAGCTAGTGATTCGTGGATCAACAATTTTAGTGAAAACCACATCACTGCCTTGTGCAAAAGGGAAGAAGGCAAGTTTAATTTTCGTTACAATTTTTTTCGTATTTTTCTTTTTTTACTTTTGCTCTTTTCAACTAATCAGTACAAGAACCAATGTTTGTTATGCTCTGCAAAACTTGTATGCAAATCAAACAAATACCGACACAGCTTTTTTGAGTCTGCTTTTTCTCGTTTTTGACTTACAGGATTGTGAATGTTTTGTAAAACTATCGAACCACTAATCTTAAAGGTGCACCCGCGCACTTCTTAGATTCGGAATTTCCATTGATGGATTGATTGCATCAAATAAGAGTAGCTGCTTCTCTCTGCTTGTTCTTTTCTTGTTCTTTCTCTTCTTGCTCTTCTCTGCTTCCCTCAATGGATTGATTGCATCCAAATCTCCCGTGCAAATTGATGCCAAACGAGCAACATGTCGATGCCCTCGGCTATAACGTTGAAAGATAACGCTAGATGCATAGCAGCTTACCATATTTAACGTGCTTATTTTGCAGCAGACTTGAAGACAAGCGGTCTACTGTAATAGGTGCATTTTTGGATCCTTTCCTTAATCAAAAGTGAGTACAAAAGTCAGCTATAGAGAGATTGATTATAATCTCTGAAATTTCTTGATTTGTCGCTTGATTTCAAGTGATGACCGCATTTTACCTCTTTTTCAAATCTACATTTTCTTGTAATTGAGAAGAACAAGCAGAGAAAAGCAGCGACTCTTATTTGTCTTTTTAAAGCTTTCACTGTATCACACTTTAGAAAATACGTTCGATCCTATGGACACCAAATCTTCAATGCCAACTCCTGCGAAGGTTTTTGAGTTCATAGCGAAGGTGGGCATTTGTGTTGAGATGTAGATTATTGCGCTTCTTCACATAACGGTCTTAGTTATGCAATAATATCTCTGAATTCTGATTTTTGCTGGCAGCACACCTGAGCTCAACCTTATGATCTCTTTCTGACCTCTATGTTCTTTTCTTGTTGTAAATGAGTGTTTTTCTTCAAATAAATGTTTTTCTCATATAGTATGTACTGCACAAGCATAGCCATCCCGTCTCTGGATCAAGGGGGAAATGTAAAAAAAATTTTGGGTCAAAGGGGGAAAACCCTGTTGTTTATGTTTTCGAAAAACCCTTTTGACAACCTCGTGCCGGGCCCTGCCCTAACCTGGAATAAACATACAGAAGACGGACCTCTCAAGATGATCTCCTTCAACACTCAGAGCGACGAAATTTGAGAGATTCACAAGAAAAAGAAAATTCGGGAGGATTTTCCAGAATATGCACTATGCGAACTTTCACCTGCTTTTGCACTTCGTGGGTTCTTAGTACCACTACTACATATATGGGCTCTCTCTTTTAGGTGTACATAAATTGCGAATTGGGGGATTGTACATAAGAACGTGGATAAAGCATTGTAACTGTTCTCCGCAGCTCAAATTATGTATACTTTTGAGAGGAATAACGAAAAAAAGTACTGACATGACCGTTTTCCTATATTGTTTTGCTCAAAATCAAAAGCTACACAAACCTTTTATTTGAAAATTTTAGTCTATTTTGGCTCAAATGCAATGCCGACCTAGTGGACTAGAACCACTGAGTGGTTGCATAAGCCCAACATACCTCCAATCATTGCGGATAGTTTACTCGCAAAAAAATATAAAAAAGAAGGAGTGATTGTATTTTCCTCATCCGAATTAGCCATTGTTGCCGCCACTAGGGTGCAGAATGAATAGAATGGCTGAGAATTAGAAATAAGATGCTGTTCTGAGTACAATTTAACGTTCCTACGTCTTAAAACCCATTCTCCTTCATTCCATACATATATGTGCAATATGACTACTCATTTAGATTGCCTCATTTCAGAGTAAATTTCAAACTTTCAACTATCATACGCTAAACGTAGACTACGAGAGACTATATCGAACATGGAAGACTTATAAAAAGCGAATAAATAACCAAATTACTTGAGCCATTCTATGTAAGATTCTCTTTCATATGGCTGTTGGGTTCTATCTGCAGGCTTTTTGAGTGACAATGCAATGCCAGAAAAAAAGCTTCTAGATATTCAAAGTTTGCTACGCGTTGCTAAATTGCTTTTGCTAAAAAAATGTTAACAGCATGGAGAAACAGGCGATGACGTTCAGATAATATCGATCAGAACTACAGTGCTTATTAGGTGCTTTGCCTGAGGCAGCATACTTCTAGGTGAAAACTACCGTGCTTTTAACGACTCAAAATGCACGAAGAAGTGGAAACTACGCCTAATATCAGCGTTCAAAGCTCTATCTATTGGTATACATCAACTTCCACATACAAAGCGAGCTTCCATCGTCAGACACACTGATGCCTTTTCTTAAAATTGACCAAGGCTTAATTGACACAAAGGCGGAGGATTTTGAATGCATACTGCATAAAATTTGAAAAGATGGTAATGAATGCAGAGTTATCTGCTGATTCATCGACCGCTAAAACTAGTTTCTTCGTTAAGATGTTATCTATTCCTTACATCATTCTTGTCTCTTTCGTGTAATGTTTACACTTCCCTATGAACTTGAGTAGTTAAGTCAAGATTAGTTTAGCTGCCATTTTTAAAGCAAAACTCTTCAACAACTTCCCGGAAATTCTGCCTGATATTTGACTCGTAACCAAAACTCATGAGCTTAATAGGCATCGATCGATTCAGATTTTTATTGCCTTTCTGAGAATAACATTTTCTCTCTGGTTGAAGCAGTCTTTAGCATAATTGCTACGAACCTCTGAGCAGTTCTAAGCGTGACTCCAAGAAAAAATTTCATTCTGATGACATCAGGAAGAGCTGGTAGCTGTCATGTACTATTGTCTATATTATACTCATTTAAGACTGACTACATAGGTTAGGTATTCAAAGTTTGTGATGTACCTATTTGGAGAAAACCGCGGCTTTTTAAGCCGGTATAGCGCATAGTATTACGAAACATTCCAAAAAGCTAATTCTTTAGAGCAAATTGAAATTCGGTTATTTTTCAAGAATTTGTGTTCAATAAATCAAAGTTTTGTTGCAGCCGCTTTCCATGACATTACCAAAAACCGAAATCTTCGAAATAATAATTTTCTAGATCTCCAAACAGTAGATCGAACGAATCAAAAAGCACACCGTGTCGAGATTTCTTGATCTAATCATTTCTGCTCCTTTCCGAAACTCGGGAAATTTTTGTTTTAAAAATCAATTGAACTTTGAGCAGATAGAGGTGACGAATGAAGTATTACGGCTAGTTATCTAGAAACATTCAGAATATTATGAATCGAAAATATAAATATCAAGAAGAAAAGAAGAAAAATGAGACATTTTGTCATTGTGCAACTCTGACTCAGATCCTATTCATGTGCCAACGATATGCCGTGTTTTTCAAGAACAGACAATTGCAGTATAACTGTTTGATATCGACATTGTGCATGAGTCTCTCCTGTTTCCTAGGAACCGGTAAGTAGAGGCACTCAAGGACAACTATCGGTTCTAGAGCTGTACTTTCAATGCCACAATGCTTGCATGCTCCCTATTTAAGGCCAATCATCTCATTTGGAAAAAAAACCTTTTTGTCAGACTCCTCAAAACTTTGTGCAATGTAAGAGAAATCCAAAAACACGTTTTCTTGTTTTTTGCAGCGCTTGTCATATATTTCCAAAATGTATGACGGTGTAATCCATGATTTTTGAACATTTAGTGAGCTCATATCATACTGCACTGCTCATGCCAGATTGATTTTTTACAGTTTTTACAGTTTTTTACAGTTATAATAACAACTCACAAGGGAACGATGCTAGATGTCCGTGGCCTTTTGAGATGAGATGTATACCATTACATTCGTCTTGGAGCGCTGATTCCGAATCTGACTTTCGTTTCTGCTAATTGCTTCTCTGAAAAAAGCTTTGAAGGATCTTCGAGCCAAAGAAAGTATGGTCAAAATGCCAAAACTGCCGCTGCGATGTGGTAGTGGCTAATGTGATCGCCTCACAGGTTAATGCAGGTTCAGGTTCGAGTTCTTTTGTGTTTTTCAGTTTTACATTGCCTCAATCAAGCTTCTTTTCGAAAGTTAGGCATCGTCGACCGTATTTCTCTTGGGCAACTATTGACGCGAAAATTCTTCATAACTTCTTCTGAAGAAACAACAAGCAGAAACAAAGGTCAGGTTCTGAACCAGCGTTCTGAAACGAGTGTGATGGTACATGTTTCATCTCAAAAGGCCACGGACACTGAGTATCGCTCCCTTGTCAGAAGGAAGGTCTTTTCCGTCGAAGTAACCTTTTCGAATGACTCCTACACTACTCTGAAGAGGACTAAAAGCTAATTCCAAATCTATCTCCCTTATCTGCCAAACCCTTTGGACGCCAAGCTATGAGCGGTTTTAAAGCGAAAAATGAATCCAGGATCTGGGTGTAATTAATTGTAACGGTCTTTCCAGCGCTTACATAGAGCATGTGAATATGTATGTAATAGTTAGGAAATATTCTTGATTGAAGCGCTCTGATATTTGAAACTGGACCATTTGAGCAGCTCCGAATAATTTCGTTCCACTTACGCTTTCAATTCTTCAACCCAAAACGCTCATAACTCGGCGCCCAGAGGCGATAAGACTTGAATTATCTCCTAATGTCCTTCAAAGTGGTTTAGGAACCATCTGGAAGGGGTACTTCATGATTCTGTCAGTCACAAGCGTGAACTCAAAGATGGCGACCGTTGAATAATACCATATGTTTTCTTTCTATGATAAAGTTGATCTACTTTGAGGTTTAAAATCTCCAGAAACTTCGCTTAGATTGAAATAGAAAATCAAACAGTAAAAATTACTCTAAAATAAAGTCTATATCCATAATTTACTTTCTTGTTTTCCGAACAATTGTTGCTATTTAGATTTCGATCTCACAAAATGTAATTTTCTAATAGGGCAAGTCGTTCTCTATTAGATTGACACATTCACAAAAGAAATTTTCTGATGATTTAAATAATTGTAAGAGGCTGAAGGTGCAAGTCTGCTGCCTTCCGCGACGAGATATTTTCTGATCAAACAATATATCAAAACATTGAAATAATGTAGCAAATCTTTTTCGGAGCTGAAAACCAAACATTCTTTTCATGAGCCGATCCAGAGGTTATACCCGGTTTTATTTCAGCGTCTACCATTGACAATCGTATAATTTCCACGTTTAGAAAAATGGTTTCAGCTTTGATGTCCACTAAGAAATTTGGGATCCAGTGCATTTTTATTCTCCTATTGAGTTGTGGATACCTCGGCTCTGCTCTAACAGATGATAAGTTGCCCATTATATCTACATCCACCTATCCAACAGCTCACAGAGACGAAAGCATAGTCGATGACTATCATGCCATCAAGGTATTTCCTTGAAAAAATCACTCCAAAAAGTTCACAATATCAGGTTGCTGATCCCTATCGATGGTTGGAAGAACCAGATTCAAATGAAACTCAGCAATTTGTGAATGATTTGAACGCTGTCTCGGCACCCTTTCTGGCGGAAGCTCCCAGTCGTGAACAAATCAAAACAAAGCAAGTTTATTTGGATTCATGCTATTACCAAAATCAATGGGATTGTCAAACAACCATCATTGTTCGCTAGAGTTGCGCGGCGTACGCAGCGTATGCACATGTATAGGGCAATCGAAAAATCGTGACGATGGTGCGACCGCACGCGACACTCGCCCATATTCGGCAACCGCTATTCTCTCGGTATTCATCTCTACTCGAATGGCTTTTCTGCTTACACATGATAGCATACAGGAGCTGGAAGTGACTAAGCTGAGAGTTGAGGCGATGCCTTTTCGTACGAGCATTTTCTATTCCTGTGGGCGCAAAGACTGCAGTTAAATTCGTCGTCATGATTTTATAAATGAACTTACGCTCCTTAGCCGCGTACGCCGCGTACACCCCGCAGTGTGGCCCAACCCTGTGAGTGAATGATTTGCGCTGCAGCTTGGACAGTGCTTTAGTTGGGGCCCAAAAACGCAATTGAGGTGAGGTTCATATGCCTTTGAATAGGTTGGCAGCTAGGCGATGCGTCATCTCCACAGCATTTTTCTTGAAGGGCAGAGAGTTATTTGACATTACACAATTATGATATATTAGGTCGTCCCAAAAGTATTTTCGCTTTTTGAACAAACGCCACACTCCGCAGAACAAAGGATTATAGGAGCTCTTGGTAGCATTCGATGCAGTTTTTCATGCTTTTTCAAATGATCGTCATTATACAGGGTTGGGGGAAAGTCTTTGAACAATTTTTGGTGTCCTCGTATGTTCGGCTTTTCCACAAATTTTTGTAAGCTAATTATATTTGTTTGCTTCTTATACTCTTGAGTACAAGCCCTTTTAAAACTGGACTATTAGCTTTTTTCCTATCGGAGATATGCCTTCTGGAATGGAGCGAGCGTTGGTGGAGAAGATGCACGAGGAGAGGATGGCTGATCAGCAAATTGCGAGGGCTCCCCAAATTTCACAGACCAAGGTCTTTCCCACCTTGCGTCGTTTCCAGGATATGAACAACATCCAGGACTGTTGTATGATTGATAAATTGGCTACTGCGGACAGTAACGAGATTCTGAAAATCGTTCGCCAACGCCATCGTCGCAATCCTCGGCGAAGCTTGATTGAGCTGGCTTCAGAGCTTTCCATCTCTGGCAGGAGAGTCTCCGACATCGTAAAAAAGGGTCTTGCGATGAAGCTTTTCAGGATGCTATCATGCCTTTTGGGAGGACACGAAGCTGAAGTGACTGCGCAGGTGGCCATCGACTGCTTGAACGTTTCTCCAAGGCACGCCACCGAACGATACTCTCTTCTGACATCAAAATTTTTACCGTGAAAAAAGTTTTCGATTGCCAAACAACAGTATCATTATCTAATCGCCCCCAGAAGTCAGTAGCAAGGGTTGACTCGCAAAAGGAAAGCTTCATCCGAATTCTGTAATGGTTTGCGCGGCGACGCTTCCGACAGCAAGATGCTGGCGATTTTTGTATCCCAGGACATCGAGGTGGACACCGCTACGCACGTGAATAGCATCCTGAAGAACGCATTGTTGGCCTGGACCAATACCCATTTTGCCAGGAGCGATTGGTGTCCCCAGCAGTATAGCGCACGTGCGCACAAAGCGAAGTTTGCTCAAGCATGCTCCAAAGCAACATCAAGAAGTTCATTACTCCTGCGGAGTGGCTTCCGTATTGGCCGGATCTGAATACCCCCGACTACAGTGTGTGTCAGTTCTGTAGGCCAAAGCCTGCGCTCACCCATGCAAGACAGTGGAGTCTTTGCGACTTGCTCTTCAGAAGGCGTTGGAAGTCGACGTGAAGCACCTCCGTGCCACCATGGACAGCGTTCCCAAGCGTTTCCGAGCTTGTGCTCGCTTCAAAGGAGGAATCTTCGAATTGTAAAGCCAGCTTTGTGTAGCAGACAGTTAAGTAAACATTGCCTATTAATTTCATGTAAACATCTTGCCTAGCTTCATCATTACGTTAAAGATACCGTGTTCAAAGACTTTCCCCAATCCTGTATTGCAGACGAAGCAACAAGCTCTCAGGAAATTGCTATAAACTGCGACCCATGCTTTTTACCAAGGTCAAGTTCAGCTATTTTTCTAAATTCTTGTACCGATTCCCCAAAGAAGTCCAACTAACCTGTCGATAGAGCAAACAAAGTAGGATGCAAAACAATTTTTGTTCCTTCCATAGCTTACTTTGAAAATTTTTTAAAATTATTTTTTCGATGCTATCAAATTCCATATTTGGTCAACTAAAACCTCACAGAACAACAGCCGGCGAGCAACTAGGTGTTATTCGAGGCAGCACTTTCTCCTCTTTCAGAGGCATGTGTTTTGTTCCTGATTCGAGAAGTCTTGGAGGATAAAATCGACAAAATTCATGTTTTTTAAGGAACCTTAGGCTGTACCCGACAAATCAAAAATTAGATATTCTGAACCCCGAAATGCTCATTTGTTTCGACAAATTAGTGCTGAATTCTAATCTACTTCGAAAGTATCAAAAATCGAGAATTTAGTGGAGTTTGACGAGTCTGCGTCTGGTATGGGACTCCTAAAATTCGATGGTGTTGTTCGGAATTCTGTCAAGGAATTATGGAGAGCCCTGGGAAGGAGATAGAAACTGTTTTGTACCCTACTTTGTTTGCTCTATCCGCAGGTTACTTGGACTTTTTCGGGGAATCAGTATAAGAATCTAGAAAAATACTGGAACTTGACCTCGGTAAAAAGCATGGGTCGCAGTTATCGCAATTTTTGATAGCTTATTGTGTCAACTGCTAAACAAAGGTGACCAGTTGAAAAAGCATGAAAAACTGCATCGAATGCTACCAAGGGCTCCTATAAACCTTTGTTCTGCGGACTGTGGCGCTTGTTCAAAAAAAGTGAAAATACTTTTGGACCAACCTAATATAATTGATTTTCAGATATGAATAAGAAATGGGGGCCTGAAGCAAATCTGATACCGAAAATCTTCAAACTTATGCCTGAACTTTCAGGTCTAAAAAGTTTCAATGTTATGATGTTTGCAATGCTTAAAGGCAGTGTCCGGGGAAAAACTCGATTTTGAGATTTTGTGCTTATACGGGCCTATTCGCCATGCTGAATCCGAAAATCCACATTGGAAAGCATGAAAACGGCGAAAAAAGGCTCTAACACAGGAGGGAAATCAGCAGGTGGGCGGGGCTTTCCCCAGTGCGATTTCACGCTCCCATCTACGGGAGCGATTTTCTCGATTCCGCTAACCCTCCTAACATCGCTACCGGTCAAGTGCGAATGATTGACTTGAAACTGGAAGCGAGAAGGTCGCTCCGGAAGCCTGGAACGTGAATTTGCAGTGGGGAGGACCCCGCCCACCTGCTCATTTCCCTCCTGTATTAGAGTCGTTTTTCGCCATTTTCGCGCTCTACAATGTGCATTTTCGGATTCAGCGTAGCGAATAGGCCCAAGTAAGCACAAAATCTCAAAATCGAGTTTTTGCCCGGACACTGCCTTTAAAGGCAGCGTCCAGGCAGATCTGGACTATGGGGTCCTCATGTGGATAGTGATTTTGGGGCCCTAACTAAGCCACTGCCCTAGCGGCAGCTCAGATAGTGCACTAACTGCTGATATTTTCGCCTCGAAACTGGACCCCGGGATCGTATTCGCATAAATTCAAGGCGCTACCCATCAATTTTGCGCGAGAACCCACGGGTTGCGCCACGAATTCATGCAAAGTACGATCCCGAGGTCGCAAGTCCTCGCGCAAAATTGATGGGTCGCGCCATGGATCCATGCGAATACGATCCCGGGGTCCAGCTTCGAGGCGAATACTCAGCCGTTGGAGCAGTACCTCTGCCGCTTGGGCAGTATACTTTTGAATATTTGAGAATTTTTTTCGAATCGAATAACCGAATATATTCGAACATCAAAAATATCGAATAATCGTATTTCGAATATTTTTAAAAACAAAAAATGTCGAATAATCGAATATCGAATATATTCGAAATGAAAAAATCCGAATAGTCGAATATATTTGAGAAAAAAATCCGAATAAACGAATATTCTGCATCGATTAAGTCGAATATTCAAACAAATTTTGATCTAATTGGCACAATAAAGGACTCCATGCAGTGGGCAACTTGGACAACAAACGATGTTTGCTGATATAGTAGTCAAAAGGGTGACGCTGTCATGTAAATATTCGATTACTCGAAATTGTCGAATAATCGGATAATTTTTGAAAATAAATAATCGAATGTTCGAATATCTTCGAAAATCAAAATTTTCGAATAACCGATTAATCGAATAAATTCGAAACTGACAAATTTCGGAGCGAATAAGCGAATAAGCGAATAAGCGAATATCGAATATATTCGAGATTTTGAAATTTTCGAATAATCAAATTTCGAATAAAATTTATGAATACTTTATTCGAATACTCAAATATTTATTCGATTCGGTCCAAAGTATATTGGGCAGTGGCTTAGTTAGGGCCCAAAATTACGATCCACGCGAGAGCCTCACATGTCCAGATTTGCCTGGACGCTGCATTTAAGCCTCTATATGAATCTGAGTGATGATACAAGATTAACCATTATTTATCAAATTTTGACATCGCATGCAAATCTGCAGTAACAAACGGCAAAACACCATTTGTTCCACACGGCGCACGTTCCAGATAGCGCACCCAAAATCTAATCTAATGCAATTACTATTGCTAAATTTTGCCCCGTTCGGGGTTTATAGTCGGTATAACGGTAGAAGGGGAAGATTACAGAATATTACAGATTTGGCTGCAGTTTTTGTAGAAACGTTATTAGGCAAGCTGACTACAAAAATGACCTGCACAGAATAGACTTCTTTATAGGCTACGATGAAAAATTTTAACTTAACAATGGATTCGGTTCAGCACATAACGACATAAAGGGTGTCCCAAAAAGATTTGCACACTGTTTAATCGTCAGTAACTCTCTTGATCTTATGTATTTCGCCGAGCTGAGCCACCATTCTGTAGGGCGAGGTTCAACTTAAATTCACAGCAAGAAGC